TTGTTTCTCCTCTTCTTTTAGTGTTTTGACCATTACCTGGAAATTTTCTTCTTTTTTATTGAGAATTTCTTCCATTTATATATGTGCTTTGCTCAAATTAATCCTCATTTACTTCCTCCCCTCCAATTCCTGCCTTATGCTTGCACAACACTGTTTCTTCCCTGTTTTGTGTGTTATTTTTTAAGCTCATGGAGCCCATTTAGTATTAATGTAGCTATAGGGTCATCTACTGGATCATGAATAGGCTCTCAGAGGCTACATCCCTAAAGAAAACTGACTCTTCCATCAATTAACCAGTAGCACCTCAGTTAGGGATGAGATGTCATGACCTTCTCCCTCATCCATGCTGGGATTTTATTTGGCTTATGCAGATAATGTGCATGAAGTCATAGTGCCTGGGCATTCACACATTCAACTGCCTTGAATTTGCATGTTCAAAGCAATCATTAAGGAACACTAACTGTACTATTTAAGATAAAACAAGGAGATTACTACCTGAACAGTACATGAACAAAGGCAGTTGACTATGGAAATGGGGAAAGTTGTATGTATAAGGGACACCACTGAACATCAGATGTAAGCAAGGTCTCAAGGGCAAGGCAGGAAAGCAGAGGGCATTTCAAGAGGAAGTAAGCAGAGAATAACACACAATGGGAAAAAGGATATAGTAAGGCTCTACATTATGTTGTCACTGAATATTTATTTATTTACACACTCTATGTTTAATTGACAAGTAAAATAACACGTTTGTTATCTACAACACAATGTGTTGAAAGGTCTTTATTATGAAATGACTAAATAAAACTATTTAAGTTGCATTACCTCACACATATCCTTTTTTGTGGTAAGGAAACTGAGAATGTCCTGTCTTAGCAATTTGTAAGTATAGAATACACGGCTATTAGCTACAGTCACTGTGTCATAAAAGAAATCTGATTGCTTTGCTTCTGCTCTTATAATCCAGCTCCTGATAGCAGAGCATGTGTCTGTCATGCCTGAAACCCAGCACCTGAGCCAGAGCAGGCACATAGCAGTGTCTCAGTGAAATAGTACTCTTGGTGTGGTTCTGAAAAAGATGCTTCACAAACAATGGATCTAAAAAACATATAATAGTGAATGCACAACATATAGTTATGCGTCTCCTATATCAGTGGTTTAATGTCTAATAAAGTGCTCTTAATGAAGACTCACATGTATAAATACATTGCAGTTTGTTTTATAATTATTGTTGAAGACAACAGCAGTGATAATGAAACCATTTTGATCAATTTCCAAATCAGGAATTTGTTTTTCTCAATGGCTCTGGTCTTTCCTCCTTCTCTAAGCCCTATGTTTCCTTTACCCTCTTAATGTTTTGAAGCGTATTAAGAGATTCATAATTCCCAGAGCTACAAGTCTGTGAGTCTTGCAGCTATTCACAGCTTGCTTTGAAACATCCTGAGCTGGTCTTCAACCAAACTGGCTCTAAAACTTTAACCAAGCAGCTGGCAACTTTTTCATGTTGTAGAGCTGTTTCTTCCAAATTGCAACATTCTCTCATGGAGGTGGGAAGGAAGCTGTAAGATTCAGGAAGCTATAGGATCTGAAGAGGCCCAAGAAGCTCAGAAAGTTACAAGATTCATAAAGGCCATTCCCAAGGTTATGTAAGGGGCAGACAATTGTTGGGGAGGGAGATGCTCCCTTGTGTGGAGCTACAAGCAAGACAGGGAGTTGTCCAGGGTCTGGACTCATGTTTGAGTGGGCTTTTCAGTGATGTTCCTGTAGGTAGCTTCAATAAACTTTCTAACTTACCAAGGGAGACTTGGGTGGAATCTTTTTTCTCTTACCAAGGTAGACTTGGGTAGAATCTTTTTTCTCTCAGCTGTCCTTGGTGCCTTATCTGGGTTGAATAAATTGTATTTTTTTTTCACATTTTCACAGGGGAAAAAAAAAGACCTCAATAGCTCATGAGTACAGGAAGTATTTTGTGTCTAGCAAACAGTATTTCAATTCTATGACAATTTTCTTCCTTTCCTGGAGAAACGCAAGGCTTTGATTAAAATGACATTTCAGTGTGATCAGTGGGAGATATTGAGCTTCCGTTAAAGACAGATTGAACACTGAATTTTTCCAGATATCTTAACATATCAAAGACAAGAAGTCAACTAAGACTGCTATGCTAATTTCTGGAGTAGTGAGGGCATTTCCTGATATGCCACTACATCTGACTGTAACTAATAGAACTAGGAGAGAAGATGCATGGAGTAGATCCGGCTGAGTTTTGCCTGGCATTGAGCTATCTCTAAATGTGTGCATTGTAGTCACACATGTTTTCTGCTTTATTTCTGTCTGCTTAGGTAGGAAGAGCATGGCCTTTTGTACATATTCAAATCTAAACATCACATATATCCTTAAGTTTAATGTACATGAAAGTGGCTAAAGAGGAAATTTCCCCCCAACATCCCTTCCATGGCAGGAGGTAAAGATTAGCAGCAGATATTCCACTGCGTCATTGCTTCCTAGGATCCTGCTGAGTTCTTCGCTCCTCATTCATTAGTTTGATCCCCACCCAATTAGGTAGGAGCTGCTATTCTTCATTTTAGAGTTGAAAAATGGAAAGATCAAGAGAATCCATGTAACAGTGGGTGTTATGTATGTCATGTATGAGTCTTTAAGAAAATTGCTGTAAGTAATTTACACAGACCTTGGCTTGCTTTGTTCTGTATTTGTACATAAGTGTGAATGTGAGGAAAGCTGCTTCCAACCCAGGAGCTGAAACTGGGACCTGGAAATTTATTTAGATAGAGGATACCCACAAAAGGTAGGAATTCTAAGGCTATCTATGCTCTTCCCAAAGGCCTAAGTCACTTTGGCCAAGGTGAAGGATGGTCTTTTCTTAACTAGACAGAATCTCATTTAGCCATGGTAGGATTAGGCTGGAGGAAGGAGCAGTCCAGGGAAGAGGTTGGGCTATGTATACATGGGCACTTACTCTCTAATGAAAGCTACTAACCATGGTTACTAACTCATTTATTTGGCTAAGTTAATTAGCTAGTCATAAGAAAGTGGTATTAACTACCCAAGGTTTAAAAGGGTAGTTCATTACATGGTAAGTATCATGTGAACTAAAGACTGACATGAAATTAAAAGTGTTAAAAATTACATTGCTAAAAGACAAGTACTAAGTATGACACCAAAATAAAATCTTGAGACTTAGAAGCAAACCTTCCATGCTAGGGTATCAATAACTTGGCACATTCCTGAAATGTCATCAGTTTGATCGCTATAAACTTGTACATGTGGGACAGGTATAGCCTGAACCTTCTCATCTATGTGCCTCCATGCTTTCTATTTAACCTTTTTTTTTCAAAGATGGAACTCAGGGCTTTGAGCATTCTAAGCAAGATGGAAAGGTCTCAAGGAATTTTGATCAGAAATACTAAAATTTTGGTTAGATATGATGGAAATATTTATATTTTAAAGAATGGCTATGTGACCACTGAAGTATAGGTAGAAAAAGAGTTGTCAAGCAAGTGATTCAATTCATCAAATATTTATGTAGTATCCTACACTTGTCTATTAGAGAATAATGCCTCCAGATAGATAAGTTATTTGTGGAACCTGTAGCAGAGATGGGTACAGTATAAAATCAAAGAAGTAAGAATATAATTACAACTTGATACTCAGTCTGTACAGGAAATTGTCCTTGGAGAATGTATAAGTAAAGAGATGATGAGTGAGAATAGGGAAAATGTTTTAAGAAGCAAAGGAGGAACAGGTCAAGTAGAAGCAAACAAACTTAAATACAAAGAACTTGTAAAAGGATTCCATGGTTAAATGAACAGAGTCTATGCAAGATCTGAAAGACAGTCCACAAGGATGACTAGTCAGGAAGATAGAACTCAGAAAGTTGGGGAATGGTAGAATATTCACCTGAAAAGTAGCCAGGTATAGCCCATACAGAATCATACAGATGTCTAATGGAGTCTAACAAGAAGATAGGGGTGTGGACCACCACAGTCCAATCTGTTATCAAGGACCTAGGGGTTGCACTGATGCAAAAGGTAAAGGTCACCAGTTTCCCAGTCTAACCTAGCCTTTAGAACCATGCACACATCAGACATATCTGGTTTCTAAGGAGCTCTAGATCATAAGATGGCACAATATAATAATAGATATGCACAATGTTTGTGGCTCTACCCTTACAGACTGCCTGAATCTACATACCCTTTGTCCTTTACCTTTTCACCAAGACAATGTCTCTACACGTTGGACAGGAAATGATTTCTTAATCTGGTTAGCTACCCCAGAAATATGGTGATGAGAGTGTGGTTACTATTCAAACAATAAATAACATAATGATAATGGCAGAATAAGGTATTATCACACAATTAGCAATTTACCAATGTGAACAGACTCAAAAAGTCATAGCTAGTTGCTGGACTTTGACTTTTATGTTTTATGAACACATATAAGCCAAAATGTCTTACTTTTTAGGGAAAATGGATCCCTATTCTGTAGGTTTGGTGAAGGTGCACTGTATAACAAAAATGATACAAGTGGAGCATTTATGAATGGAAGTAATTTTCAAATAATATCTCAAAATCTCTGCACAGTAAATCATGTAATAAACTTTTTGTTTGGGGGTTTAAAATAATATGCAACTTTTTTTTTGGTTTTTCGAGACTTTTATTCAAGATTACACATTATTGTGATATATTATAATTCATGTTTTCATATCTATCATTGTCATAAAAAATAATTTAAATCTGATAAAAAAAAAGTCTACCCTAAACATCAGGCTAGAAGATCTCTCTATGCATAAGGATTTGCCCAAACTTAACTAACATAGTTAAGCTCTGAAATAGATATATAGCCAAGTTGTCTTCCTTTTTAGCAGAAGGTCATTGGGATTGCTGCTTTTCTCCGAGCCAGAGTCATTCATGACACCCCTTTAAGTATTCACACACCCTCTGCGGTCATTGTATTTGTAATAGTGCCTTGTGTGTTGTGTCTCCTAGCTCTACATTCAAACTACCACACTTACAATCTCCATGAACCTAAGTGCGTCAGTGGCGCTGGGAATGCTATACATGCCGAAAGTGTACATCATCATTTTCCATCCTGAACTCAATGTCCAGAAACGGAAGCGAAGCTTCAAGGCCGTAGTCACAGCAGCCACCATGTCATCAAGGCTGTCACACAAACCCAGTGACAGGCCCAACGGTGAGGCAAAGACAGAACTCTGTGAAAACGTAGACCCAAACAGTAAGTAACTCTCTTTTCATCTTTCCATCCTGCATGAGAAAATTCCAGAAAAATGGGATATGTGTTTCTGCTCTCTGGAGTAAGCTTGCCTTGTGGATGGCTTGCCTTGATGAATGGTAACATTTAGCCTTCAGATTGTGATTCATTCCTGCTATCATTTTCTTGCTAGAAAGCTTTTCAGAGTTCTGACTTCTCCCTTGATTCTCTTGTCTCTTTGTCCTTTGCTCCAGAAATATCCAGTGGGAATGAACATGTTTAAACATGTCCATCTTTATTAGGCTCTTCCCACTAGGGGAATGACTTCCTCTTAGGAGGACTACTTCCTGCAAGGAAAACAACTTCCTGTTAGAGAAGTAGCTATACATGGTGAACTGCAGCCTTAAAAGTAAAATTAAAATTTTGAAGAACTTTAGAAGCATGCCTTCCTTCCACTGAGATGTGAACATGGAGAAATTATTTCAAAGCAAGTCTTTTGGAAACAGAAGCAGAAAATATTGGATAAAGCTATTAAACTTTCATTCAAGTATACAGGGCCATAGTCTGCCATTCTAAAGGCAGCACACACTTGGGGAAAGTAGCTCCTAAGACATTGAAGAAGAAAATCATTTTATGAAGGACAAAAACTGACAGGTGGCATTCACAAGTGTTAGACTCAACACACTGCCTGCCTTATCTCTAACAGTCAGGTGGTCTTCAGTGTTGCCTGTGAAGGACCTACGAAGGATAGACACAGGAGATCACATAAATAACACTACATCGACTCAGATGTTAGCTGCATAAAATTCTCAATTACCACTTTTACTAACAGTGTGGTAGTAAATATAGATTTCAGATTAAAAACACTAGTACTAGGATTTGCATTCCAAGAATATTTTAACCAGTTCAGATACTGGTATTCATGGTAGCAATTTCTGTTTATAAAAGAGATTTCAGATTTCCCATCAAGTCTTTCAAAACACACTGCTTTTAAATTAAGAACTACTCTTACCATACCCATATTTGCAACCAAACAGACAGAAATTCAATAGGCCAGAGAGCTTAGTTTTAATGAATACTGTACAAAAACACATGATCTTGTCCCATCTTCATTTATGAATGGATGTACAAAATATTGGGAAACACTTTCAAAATAAGCATGGGCTTCACTCAGAAGCTCAATAGAAGAGATTAATGGAGAGACTGGAAGAGGAAGAGGATTATCCCAAAAAGAAAGGAGAAAAAGAATGAGGATGTAAGCTCTGCCATGTCTCCAGAGCAACTGACCAAGGAGAGCTGGGAAGAGCATACCAAGGTGCTCTGACCTTCAGAGTGATGGAGGAAGCACCCTGGAGTGCAGACACACCTGGGTTCCTACCCAAGCTTCTCCACTTAGCACCATGTGACTGAGAGCCATGGAGCTTTTCTAAAGCTCAGCATCTTTTTGTATAATATGAAAGTAATATTGCCAATGTCATATATGTGTTATAAAATATTTGACTCACAAATTTCACATCTACTGAATGCCAATGGATCCTATTCCTGAAGAGGCAAAGCATTCTTAAAAGTTCATTTCCAAGTGATCAGGTAGATGTGACAGTATAGTTAAAGGCAGACTAAATGCCATGTAGTAGATGAAACTGAACCCCCCAAAATAATATTTCTATGATTGTGTGTATGCCTATAGTTACAATTATCATCATACTGATCACTTTTCCTATATAGTTCAATTTCTGTAGATATTTATAATAAACTTTTACCGAGTTTCCATTTCATGGAAACTTTATCCATTCTCTAGTCCAATAACAATTTTTAATCATATATGTATATCTATATATACCCAAGCACACAAATTTAACAAGATTTTGACCCAAGTTAGTAATCAAGACAGTTGGAAGTCTCTTCTCTATATTTTTATTTTAAAAATGAACAAATACAAACTTATAAATTTAGACAACTAATCCTACAATACTTTAGCATTAATAACTTTTGAATATAGCTAACTTTTTATGTTCATATCAATCCTTGAACATTTGAGTAGTTTCTAAAATGCAAGCACTAACATTAATACTAGCTGCATCAGCCACTTTTAAAATATGTATCACACAGAAACTTTTATTCTTCCAGCTTTTATTCTGCACAGCAACTCAATAAAGAAGATGCTCTTATTCTTAATTTACTGGTGAAGCCTCACTTCAGGGAGTTTCTGTAACATGGCCTAAGTCATGTACCTATTTAGCATCGAAGGTTGAATTAACCATGGTCTTAACTCCTAAACCCATGCTTGTTCCTCTTTGCTACTGTGTGTCTTGAAACATGACTAGCAGGATAAATTCCCAGTGCATAAATCTTTCTTTTGGCTTACTTTCTTGGTAATATAGCTTAAATATATAATAATAAAATAATAATAATGATTAATGATAATAACAACAACAATAGTAATATGAGTGATAATGATGGTGGTGGTGGTGGTGGTGGTTGTAGTGGTGGTGTTTTGAGGGGAGCTGTCTTTTCTGAAACAAGTTGTACTATGAAATATGTGGTTGCTTATTGTATTGTCTACATACAGTAATAACCTACATTTAGAGAAGGCTGCCCAGGTAGAGTCCTTATCATACTAACTCCAAAATTCAGATATTGTAGTATCAACTGGAATCATTGCAATAATTCCACTGAGAACTCACTGGACATCCATCCTTAAAATTTTTTGGTTGTTCTGGTATCTATAAAGAGTCATAACAAACACTCCAGAAAAAAAAATAAAAAAGAAAGAGAATAGTACAATTAGATAGAGTCTTTGCCTCTCAACCAGTCTGAAAGATGTTTGAAATTCTTCAAACTCTTCTGGTATTGTGTATCCACTAACCTAAAACACCACAAAGGATAACTAGAAATTGGCTGAACCACAGGAGGAGATTCATGTGCCTCCCTCCAAACATTGGGGTTTTTGATGATCCAGCTCTCACAGCGCATTGAGAGACTCCATTTCTCCCAAGCCATCTAACAGCACTGTCAGCAGGCAACAGTGTATTCTGATTCTGCGTTGTCTAATACAGCCAACATAAACCCCAGTGTCTCTCAAGCACCTAAAAGTACAGCTTTTCAAATGAGACAATAAATCTTTGTTTTTATTTGATTTTACTTTAAATAAGTAGCCAGCCAAAGCTGTAACTACTGCACTGGACATCACAGATCTGGACGTTTATGTATATTAAAGGCAATTATTTAATCTTGGAATGTCCAGTATGAGTCCATAGTGGAAACTGGCTCCATCATATTAGTATTAGTGCTTATCTGGAAGAAACATAGCATAAAGGAATAAAATAATTGGACATTAAAAATACAACATTTGAAATATTCCCCAAACAAGCTTCTGATGTAGAAAATGGGATATCACATTCAACTGTATTTTAATCTGTGACCTGAAAGTCACAAATATGCATAATATGTGTTAAGATAATAGTGAAAATTTAAGTCAATGAAAATAGACAAGGTTCTGAAGCTATGAAATGGTGACATAATATCATATTATGTTGAAAACCAATAATGGCTCAAATAATCTCCAAAATCTAAATTTTGGCAATGGAGACACAGGAAATATTTGCTTAACTTAAGATATGTGGTAAAAAATTATGAATAATATATGCACTTGAAAATATGCATCTCTCCAAAGGGGAAATTCTTTTTTAAGGTGGTGAAAGATATGTAAGAAGACAGGCCAGTGCATAGTATGAACTTCAAAGTAATGAATGGACCAGAAGCGCTCTCCAGTTCATCTGTGCTCTGAACACTTAGTGTGAATGTATCTCAGTCCTTGGTGTTTTCATCTTGAACGGCTCTGCTCCATCACCACAGCTTGCCATCTGGCGCATGGCCGCTTCCACGCATCCACTTCCCCACGGCACACGTCTACATGAAAATGAGCTTGCTTCTTGGCTTAAAATGTGCAGACATTAAAACCGCCCTCTGCACTTCATTATTTTTCAAGGATTGAAATGGTCCTCTCAAGTTGCTCCTTCAGTTAAAATTCCGATTGCTTTAAAGAATAACATCTTTTTTGTTGGGAAAAAGAAACAAACTTGTCAAAGTGTTAATGTTATCTGTGCACTGTGCATGTATTCTATATTCAAGCTCAGGCCAGTGTTTGCCAGGGTCTATGTTCAGACTGAAAATTAGCAAGCCCAAAGGGCAATGGGATGAAGCTCCAAGACTTTTATTTATATAAAAGTGATTCCTGTCACAGGGGTTCAGAAAAGCCAAAACTCATTTGGATACTTTAACTATGACCAAGATACTTCTCCTCAGAATTTCTTCAAAATCTGCTTTTCTCACCTACTTCCTGAATCTGGCCTCTCTCCCTGTATTGAGAATGCTGACTTCCATGTATATGTTCATGGCAAATGAATCGGAGGATGTGGTCATGCTTGGGCTGTGGCTTATGACTACTCTTACAATCCTTTTAAAGCTGGATGTATATCAATTGGTTGGCAGCATGATTTAATTGTTATTGGTGAATATGATGTGGTATCTTCCTCATCTGGAATGGTCACGCTCATCAGATTCTATGTGAATTACCCCTTTATCTCATGCTTCCCTTGGGCAAGGATTGCACTGCATAATGATGAGAGGCTGTGACTACCCTGGTTCTAAGATACCATCCATTTTCTAAGTTGATGTCCCCCAGGCTGAGAAATAACTCAAGTCAAAACACCTGGGTGAATGCAGAGCATAACCTGGAAGGTCAGTAGGAGCTAGTCATAGTAGGCAGGTGGGCAGCTAAGAACACACCCCACTTATTGGATATGGGAGTGTATAACCGATGGAGAAGCTAGATGTGCTCCACAACAAATGGGATGATGCCCATGAACATAGAACGTGGGGAAGACCATATTAGAATAACAACAATGTGTATCTCAGATACAAAATATAAAATAAGATAATTTCAACATAAATGTATTCTGATATTGATATTTTCTTTTTTATTACTATTTGGCATTGACTATAAGGAAAACAAGAAAAATCCTGTGCTGGTCTCAAGGAAAGAAATCACATAAAATAGAAATATCAGTAGAAGAAAGTATTTGATTAATAAAAATATCTAGGCTGCTGGAAAATGGATGTGGGCAACAAATTGTACACAAATAATACTGCCTAGAAAGTTCTGTAACACATTTCCATGCTATGCTAATTTGTTAATGTTTCTTGTTTTGTTTTGCTTCTTCATCTGTTTGGATCTCTAACATTCTCAACATGGCACTATTCGTATCCATCCTTCTGGACTAACCAGGCAAAGCTGATCAGCAAGAATGAACTAGGCTGAGGTAAAAGGAATGGCAACAGGAAGGAGAGAGACAGGTAGATCAGTTATTTGGGGACTGGTTGCCTCAGTTGCACCAACTCAAGCAAGTACAACCTAGTTGCCTTCAGTTCTCTAGTGGCACCAGCACCCCCATGTTCAGAGGTGCCTAAATTATGGTGAACTGGTCTACCCAAGCCTATTGTATCCACTGAAATAGTGGGCACAATGTCTGTGGGTCTCTATTACAGCCTCTTCTTCAACAACAATAAAAAATAACTGATTATAATAAAAAAGAATATTGTCTGCACATTTATTTTATACATTCCTATATATTTACTTTTCCTGTAGACTGTATACCACCAGTAAGAAAGAGTGTACAAAAGTCCGTAACTTGGTACACTATCCCACCAACAGTATAGCTTTTGACTGCTTCCCGAAAGGTAAGAAAACAATCTCCTTTTCATTTATTTGTGTGTTATTGTCTACACTAAGAATAGACATGTTTTCATGAACACCGTGCATGACAATATGAAATTCTATCTGTATGAAGAAATGAGTTTTGAAATATGATCTGTTTGATGAGCTCAGTGACAGCTCTAGTTCCATGCCTGTTATCTTTACTGGAGAACATGGTTTTGGGTGTGGCAACTAACCAGTCTTGTTAGAGAATGGGTGCTATTTATTCTGATGCAGAGTCTAATTTAAAATAAGTGATGGTAAAAAAATTATTTTTAAATGTGTGTTTTTACATTCTGACAGTATGGATCACTGATATGGAAAAAAGGGGCATGCTTTATCAGTCAAGTACACATATCTACTTCAGTTATCATTACTTGGTACATCAAAATAAATGTACACATTCCTGGGAGTATATCTACTTAAAAAAATATGAATAGCTGGTCCTAACATTGTAAGATTAATTGTCTTGGTTTTTTTCTTTTTATTTTGTTCTCCTTTCTTTCTTTCTTTCTTTCTTTCTTTCTTTCTTTCTTTCTTTCTTTTTTCAACAATTAACTACAGGAAAGTTTTATGGCTGGAATTAATGATTTGTCAATCATGTTTCTTTCTCTGAGAAATCAAGTTAACTTTAATGTTCTCTGAAAGTAGGGAAGGGGTCAAAGAAAGATGACAAAGGGCAAAGGAAATTTCAAAATAGACAGAGGGTCTACCAACTATTACCATTGTATTAAAAACAATGGGTTATGTGACCTGATCAACTGATCATATGAATGAAATGTCTTGACTCACCATTCATCAACTGACTCACACCATTCATGCTCATGTACTACTTTGTTAGCCTATTAGTGAATCTGTGCTGTAAGATTACTCTTAAAGATGCTACTGTCCTTATCATTTCTGAATGTCAGCCTAAGCAATATAGAATCACAGTGGAAAACATCTCTTGCTTTCAAACATCTTTGTCTAAATGGATTCAGCAACATCCAAATGGTAGAAAAAATAAACAGTGGAGGGCATGGAGAATAGGGTGAAAAGCTGGAGAAATGCCTCAGCAGATAAGATTGTGTAATGCTCTTGTAGAAGACTTGAGTTCAATTCCTAGCACCCAGATTGGAAGGCAAACAACCACCAACAATGTCACCCCAGGAATCTGATGCCCTCTTCTGGCCTCCATGGACATCAGCACTTACATGCCCCTGAAAATTCATACACACACACACACACACACAAACACACACACATGTTAAAAATGAAATTAAAAAATTTAAATTAGGTGATAAATTTGAATAAAAGACTCCCTTCTGCTTGTCTCTACATATACTCTCTTGTTTTTAAAACAGCTGGAAGGCCTATTTCTAGAGATCTATGAAAGTGAGGTCTTGTCATGGAGACTAACATTATGTTTAACAATGTGGACTAGCATTTCTCTTTGTGTGTGTCATGGGACTTCTGTTAAATCACTGTCCAGACACAATATGTTTTTTTGGAATGATATTCTACATACAAATAATATCTTAGTCTTTAAAAAAATCCACTTAGTACTCAAAGACAGGCTGCAATTACTTTCAAAGAGTAATTACATTTCCTGTTGATTTTAGAAGGATGCAACATCTCAGTCTTTAATTTCAGATGTATTGTTTCCATAGTTATTTCCTTTTCCCTGTATCAACATGATGTGTCCTAGATTTTAAATAGGGCATTCTTCCCTACAGTGAATATGTAACTGTATCCCAGTGAGATTTCAAGTCTCTGCTGTACCAGTGATTGTCAAAACACTGCGGCTCGTCATTTCACAGTTCTTTTACAGAAGACTTCCTGAAAATAAATGAGAAAGAATTATCCCCAGGAAAAAAAAAGATAGACTAAATATCCATCTATTAAAAATTCTCTTTAGCTCCATTCTCAGTTGGTGCCTTTTGGTTTAAAGGATGTAATAGAAAACTATATGAAGTTGACCTTTCAGTTAAAAAGTATTGGTAGAGATCTGCATGTCGGCTCAGCAGGTAAGGGAGCTTGCTGCCAAGCCTGATGACCTGAGTTACACCCTGAGATCTACATGGTGGGAGAGCAGGCTCCCTGGGGTAGTTTTCTGACCTACACACACACACACACACACACACACACACACACACACACACACACAAAATGTAATACAAATTTAAAAATAAATACTGCTAGGAAGTGGTGCTTAGAAACAAAACCAACATGAGATTATTTTACTCACAGATTTTGTTGGTGAGATTCTGAGAGAGTAAGCAGACAGGTCACATCACAGGATAAGGAATGTGAACTGGTCTTTCTTTTCCCAGTGCCACAGTATGGCACATTCATTCACTAATGTGTTTTTCCTTTTTGATGGCCTTGTGGATGCAAGTAATATTTGCACTTGATTTTTTTTCCTGATCAGTTTAGGGGTATCTTCTCAAAGGAAGGATGCACTTTATATTTGTTCCCTTTCAAAATAATTGGGGGTAGAAGATGGTCCAAGTTATGTATTTTCAAAGAGTAGGCAACAACTGTTCCCCATTAACAATAAGAACTACCTTTATTTGGAGACCAACTAAAGAAATGCTCCAAGGGCCCCATGTTTGAATCTATTTCTGTGTGACAGTATTCAGGGAGATGAAATGATAAAGAGAAAATTACAGTTGTAAGAGCAAATTTTATACTAATTAGCTATTAAAACTCCATTTCAGCCACTGGGTCCCATCAAAGATACATCAAATACAGCAAGCATGGCATTTGCTTGTAAGAGATGAAAGGAAACAAATTTAAAGTCAAACAAAACAAAGTGTAACATGGCTAGAAAATCTGTTGTGTGTAAGGAACCTGTTTTCAAAGTAGGCATCTCTGACAGATGCCTACACCTGACATCAGCAAAAGCATTACTCCATCTTTTCATTTATGGGTTTATAAACTTTATAACTATGTGACAAGTTACCAGTCTAGCAATACTTACTTTAACATCTAATTAGGGAAGGAAGAAAAAGAAAAAAATGACTGATCCTGTACTTTACTCAGGCCAGGAAATAGGTTGTTTTCATACAGCAGTTGAGTACTGGAGGATGGTGGTGTGATTACAAAGCATTAGGTTCAATCCAGCCTTGCATATACAGACATATAATTACATTTTTGTGTTTTTGCACAGTTTTGTTCTTCTGAGCAAGTATTCAGGTTTTAATACTATTGAGATATCAACTTATGGAACTGCATTTTTTTTTTTTTTTTTTTTGGTTTTTCGAGACAGGGTTTCTCTGTGTAGCTTTGCGCCTCTCCTGGAACTCACTTGGTAGCCCAGGTTGGCCTCGAACTCACAGAGATCCGCCTGGCTCTGCCTCCCGAGTGCTGGGATTAAAGGCGTGCGCCACCACCGCCCGGCGGAACTGCATTTTTTTAAGTTACTAAGGGCTAGGAAGAAGGCATAGTGGGTAAAGTGCTTGCTGTCCAAGCATACAATTTGGATCCCTAGCACCTAAATAAATTCCTGATGATGTGACAGTCCACCTACAATCCCAGTTGTTGGGAGGGGAAAACAGGGGATTCCCAAAGGAAACTGGCTAGCTAGACTAGCCAAATTGGCAAGATTTGGGTACAGCAAGAGAGCTTTCCTCAATAAATAAAGAGAAGAATAATCAAGGAATACACTTGATATCAACCTCTGGCTTCAAAATATAGCTGCACATTTACCCATATACTTGCCCACCCACACATGCAAATACATGGACACCATGCAAACATACACATGCCCCCAAATAAATAAATCTTAATAATCTTCTGTTTCTTGTCATTCATATAATGGGATTATTTAGCACTTGTAGCTTTTAAGAACTCTGTCGTACAAGGCTTTACATCCTATTGAGATTCTTCCTCTTTAGCATTCAATGCGGTGGCCCTGTTTGAACAGGAGACCACTTCAATTTTAAATCCACTTTGAAACACTCTCTAAATATAGCACAGCAAAGAATATAAGGCTACCCCCACTTTTGACACAGAATCACCTCAGAAATAAATGCAGCAATAAATCTCAACAGGACCGATCTCTCAGCACATGCTCAGAAACCAATTAATACCTGCCACCCAGCTCTGCAGCTCACATCCCACTTAAAGAATAGGATGAAAGCACACACAGCCGGTAGTTTTACTAGCACAGTAGAGTTATACAAACCCTTCCCTTCCTTAAGTCATGGAAACTGCATCACAAGGTACATTGAACCACTGCCTGGCTCAGTCTCACCAAGATTTATGAACCATGAGACTGCCGTTAAGGGGGGACAGTCAAATGACTATCTCAGAAGCTTTGCCCCTGTGCCAGCCCTGAGGTGACACAAATGGGAGACAGAAATGGACAAATCCCTCAGGGAACTCAAACATGATGGAGGATACTAAGGTAAGCAATTTTAACTCCAAATGATGGGGGCTCTTATTAGAAGTACATTAATTGTCCAGCTATGTATGGAGAGCACCATGCTCCACCCTGCATGCCAGGTGGTCCAGGCAGCCATACAAGGAAAGACACTTAAAATGGGGAAGACTATGCACAAAGAATCTGAAGCATAAAAATAATGGGGCATGTTTGTGAATGAGAAATGGTTCTGCAAAGCTGCTGTATCAGAGTTAAGGACACATTATCTTAGGGCATGACATCCAGGAAGTGGCCTGACTATGTGGGGATAAAGTTTCCTTTATCTCTGTGCCTTTGGTGAGTCCTGGTGAGTCCCAGGCTCTCAGCCTTACCTAGAACCTGACTGGTATATAGATAACAGTGAATAAGAATTATGAATAAGAAAATACTCAGTCTATGTAACTCAGCAGGTAGGACTGTATCCTTCAAGACAAAGCCATCAAGATCATACAGACTAAAGAGGTGACTTTTATGCTGATGTCAGGTTTCAAAATTGTCTTGTGGTTTTATGTGAAAATCCTAAAAGTGGTATCAGTACTATACCTGCATTTAATCTCCATTTTGGTGCGTTCAGTCAAC